GAAGTTAGACCTTGTTCATGTCGTTGCAGAGGGACAGTTGCTCGTGACCGATATTGCCGTGAAAAGTAGTTCGTTTCGAGTCGTTGTGGTTTATGCGCCCAACAACGAGGTAGAGCGGGTTTCGTTTTTTTCGGCGGTTGGGGCCGTTCCTGGTGAATTCAATGCGCCTAGTTAAAATGGGGGCCTGGTATGTCCAAGTTAGATAGGGGGAGGTTAGCTAGAATGAGGGCGGGCGATCAAAGCTTGGTTGATCTAATCGACGAGTTTGGTCTCGTCGATAGATAACGGATCGATCACTCCGGGGCGTGGGCTACTAATTGGCCTTGTACCCAGGTGGCTAGCTATTTGGATATTATGTTAGTTAGATGATCCGATATAGATTTACTAGATTTTCCTACGTTCTACTGGTTACTATTCGGGCAACAAACTTGTTTGCGCCCGGGTGGCGTTAGATTACAATCTAACGCCACCCGGGCACAAACAAGTGCCTAGAATGGCTGGATACTGGAAGTTCAATCAGTCTTTACTGGAGAGGCGGGACTTTCAGGAACAGCTATCTAGTATAGTGCAGCGGGAATTGGTGGGGGCGGTCATCAGGAATTTATGGTGGGAGAAGCTTAAGAACGGTATTAAGTCCTTCACCACCAGTTTAGAAAACTGTTCTCGCAAGATAAGGCTAACAAGATGAAGGCTCTTAAGGTTAGTCTTTCCCAGGCGGTGGCTGGGGGATATTGCCTAGAGATAGCCTTAGCCTTCAGGCTCTGGAGGGCTTGACTAGCGAGCGCTACATTGGTCAGGAAATTAGACATAGGTTAGGCAAGTTGTCTTCCGAAGCTGTGAATATGAGCGCGGAATTGCGCAAGGAAGAGATCCGTCGAGGTTCCGGTCGTTACATTCCTGTGGTCAAGACCCCGGAGGGACACGCTCTTCGGGCAACTGACGACGTGTGCGAGGCGTTTCGGTGGCATTTCCAGAGCCGTTTTACAAGGAGCCTGGTCTTCGCGACGACGAGTTTCGTAGCTATTTGGCTGACTTTCCGCGGCTTTCGCCGACTGAAGCGACTAGCTGCAAGGGGGAGATAATAGAGGACGAATTCTACGCGGCATTGAAGAAGGCCAGCAGAGGCAAGTCGCCCGTTCTGGATGGTTTGCCATATGAATTGTATTTGAGGCTGTCGTACATCTTTTCCCGATTTGACTGTCGTGTTCAAGAACTGATTCCGCCAGGGGTCTGCCCCGACAGGTTCACCAAGTACATGATCACGCTTTTGAAAAAAGGCAAGGGATTCAAATGACTAAAACCCCATAACTGTGTTAAACACAGAATTAAAGATTTTGGCCAATATCCTGACGGAGCGTTTGGAGTCAATTGAGAGTTTCTATTGGGTCCTGAGCAGACTTGCGCTATGAAGAGCCGAACAATTCAGAGCAACCTGTATCTGATCCGCATGATCATAGAAGGTGTAAGAGACGACGATGAGGCTGCGCTAATCAATTTAGATCAGTCCAAGGCATTTGATAGGATTGACTATCGCTACCTTGCTGCTGTCCTGCAGGCCGCTTGATTCGAACCCGACTTCTGCCGCTGGATTAGCCTGCTGTATCGCTCTTGTGGTACAGGCTAACGGGAAGCTGTCGGGTGCTGTTTCGGTCGGTTTGTCAGGGTTTTCCACTGTCGCCCCTACTTTACGCTTTGGCGTTGGAACCTCTTCTTTGCCAGTTAAGGGACAGGGCGTGCAGTCCGGCCCTACGTGGAATCGCCTTACCTTGAGGGGCTCGAGCCAGGGTTTCCGCGTACGACGATGACGTATTTATTTTCGTGTCGTCCCTAAACGACATTGAGGTGGTACTGAAAGCATTTGAACGGTACGGAAAGGTGACAGGGCCAAGATTAACCGCGACAAGTCTTCCGGATGGCGGTTAGGTGCCTGGAAGGGAGTCGACCTTCCGAGGCCATTTGGTTGGACGGACGGTCCTGTTCGCATTCTTAGAGTGTGGTGTGGACCCGACCTTCAGCTGGAGAAAAATTGGTCAGAAGTACAAGTAAATGTCTGCGCTGCTGCTCAGTCTACACGCCGAAGGAGGTTGTCCGTGAAAGGCAGGGCAGTGCAGAGGCGTGTGCCACTTACGTCTTTCCTCTGTAGAGATCATAAGAAGGCGCTCGAGCGCTTGCTATCCTCCATATTATGGATTGGACACAAGCATAAGGTCCGTATCATGTGGGGCTGGGAATGCCTCAAATGGCGAGTCAAATGCTCGCATCGAGGTTGGCTTTCCTACCCCGCGCATTGAAAGGGGATTCGATTATGGCGGGGGTTGTAAAGAACCTTCCCTTTCCTTACTATCAGTCCTCAATCTCGCGTGTTGAGCGCCGTGGGCATTAATCGGATTTTCTTCGCGAGTGTCGATATGCCTTGGCGATTATTTCTCAATCCAGTTACCTTTCTCAGGCTAGGAAACTCTCCTATCGGAAACGAGTGGAGGGCGCCCGCGAAGGATCCAATACGGGAGAGGCTCGGCTTGTCGGTGGAGAAGTTTCGCTTCTTCTGGTCTTGGGCGCCAGCGGCGGATTATTTCAGTAACCCTGAGCTTACCTGGCTACTGGCTCGGAATAGGGTATCTTTCAATGACATGACCTTCATATGGGGCTTGGCGGACTTGCCAGACCGTAAACGATGTAACCTTGGCCTGGAAGAAACGGCTTCACACGCCGTCTACGATTAAAGATTAAAACTGAAAGAAAACTGTAGCGAAAGGTTGGTGACTGAGGCGAACTTGGTTCGTGTGAACGCGGCCAGCCTTGATTTTCTTTTTTTAGGTCTACTTATATCACATCCGGGTGGTTCCCGTGGAGCCCTCCTATGCTTAGTCTAAACAAGCTTTGTGTACCTAGTTAGTATGGGTAAGTGTTGTTCCCGGCCTGCTCCCGGCTACATCTTTTGTTATGACCAAGTTGAGATTCTCAACATCCCCAGTCAGCTTTATTTATTCCTCATGTCCGTATATATTTTCTTCTTTCCCTCTCTGTTAGTGAGAGAGCCTCTTGATTCTGTCGCAGGGTAGAATACAGCGGCCTCCTATTTTTGAGGGTTGAACGGGTCCTACAAACATAAGCTATCCTTAGTTTGTTTTGATATTTAGTTTGTTTTGGGGTTTTCCCCTCCCCTCTCATTCTCAATCATTAGATTTTTATGTATTTAATTTTTAGTATCATCAAATTTTTATGCCCCAAGGCAAGTTTTGTAGGTCCCCAGAAAGATACGTGAAATTGAAAAATTGAATTTTTCAATTTACAAAAATCATGTATTGTTGAGAGGGTTTTCTCAGTGTAAAGGTGTTACTTTGGAAGTAGGAAGATTTGAAGTGTTTTTGAGAGACAGTTGTGTAAAAAATAATTTTGTGAAAAGTTAGTTCACTGAACAGTACAAAATGGAGGATTTAAAACATCTTTACTGGGAATATTGAAACAAGACAAATAACAGAAATATTACGGACAAAGGCGTGAAAAAATTAGACTTTTTTTAGGACAACAACGGAAAATATCAACGAGTAACAAGAACGAATATTCCGGCTATTTTTTCACAGGACGCTATCGCAAATGCGATTGCTGAATTCAATTATATACCAGAAGAAGGGACAATATTTTCGTCGTATTTTCGTAGATACGAAGACCTTTACAAAACTTACTCTGCAAAATGGTCCGACCACAAAAAGGTCAGACTAGTGTTAAGGAAACTAGGCGCTGTCGAACACACAAAGTTTGTAAATTACATATTACCGAAAAGAAAAAAACAAAAAAACTAGTGACCTAACGTTTAAAGAAATGGTCACTTTTCTTTCTGAAGTGTTCAACCCAAAGACACCGTTTTTTCCATACAAGATGGAAATGCATGACAGGGAGATGAAGATTTCACAACGTTCGCTAGCATTGTGGACGATCAGTGTAAGGGGTTCAAACTGGCAGAATTAATTCCTGACAATTTTAAATGCCTGATATTTGTTCAAGGGTTGGTGTCGACAAAAGACACTGAAATCAGGAGAAGGGGTTTAAATAAAGTTAAAAACGAACCCAATCTGACTTTACAAAACCTAGCAGAAGATTGTCAGAGTTTTATAAATGTTCGACAAGATGCCAAAGATATAGAAGTAAGCGGTGTTTCGCACATTTAAAAAGTGCGTCAAGAAAATAAAATGAAGAAGAAAAATAAAATTACTCCTAACCCCTGTTATGCATGTGGAGAACTACATTTTTATAATGAGTCTGCTTACAAAATTAAAAAATGTTTTCGATGCAAAAAAAAAATGAAAAAGAAAAAAGGACATAAGAAAACTCACTGTAAGGTAAAAGCAAAAAGAAAACGTGTGAATAATTACGATAAAGTTACCGGTCGGAATATAAGGAAAATTGTGCAGGTAAAAAACCTTAAAAAGTATTAAATTACAATTGGATAGCGAATCCGACTTAAGCATAATAAATGTATATACATGGAAAAATAGGAAAAACCAACGTTAATGGTTCCCAAGAAAATCGCTCGTAGTATTACAGGACGGAAAATAAAATTCGACGGTGAATTTATAACAGATGTGATGTTGAAATGAAAAATACAAATAACCTTTTTGGAACAGGCTGGATGGGGTAGTTTAAGTTATGGAACAGTCCGATCAGTTCGTTTTATCAAGATGTTAAAGGTCTTACCTAGGAAGCGGAAAGTTTAAAGAAAGTTTGATGCCATATACACCTCAGCCCTTACTGCGTTCGGGAAGAGGGATAGTCGAAATGCGGACTGGTACGAGGCTCACTGGGATGAGATGCAGCCAGCCTCTGAAGCGAAGAGACAAGTACCTCTGGCCTACAAGCAAAACCCTTGCGCCAGTACCCGTGATGCCCTCAGAGCTACTCGCAGCAAGGCTCAACGGACTGCACGCCGCTGCGCCAACAACTACTGGCTGAACCTGTGAAGCAGGATCCAGTCAGCTGCCGACAGTGGAAACGCAAGAGGCATGTACGCCGGCATCAAAACCGACACCGGCTCCACTCCCACCAAGACGGCTCCGCTGAAGTCCAAGACAGGAGAGATCATTACAGACCAGGGCAAGCAGCTAGACCGCTGGGTGGAGCACTACCTGGAGCTGTATGCAACCCAAAACGTGGTGACGGGTGCCACCCTGGATACCCTGCCCAGTCTCCCAGTCATGGAGGAGTTGGATTCCTCACCCTCTGCAGAAGAACTCGGAAACGCCATCAACTGTTTCTCCTGCGGGAAGGCCTCTGGGAAAAGCTGGTTCCCATCAGAAGTTCTGAAGAGTGGCAAGCTAGCTCTACTGCAGCAACTCCACGAGCTTCTGTGCCTGTGCTGGGAGAAAAGCCACATCCCTCAGGATATGCGAGATGCTAACACTGTCACCCTCTATAAGAATAAAGATGACCACATCGACTGCAATAACTACCACGGCTTTTCCCTCCTCGGCATCGTCGGGAAAGTCTTTGCTCGCGTCGTCTTACCACGCCTGCAGAGCCTCGCCTCCCGTGTGTACACCGAGTCGCAGTGTGGCTTCAGGGCAGGCCTATCTACAGTGGATAGGATCTCACTACGCCAGCTGCAGGCGAAGTGACGTGAGCAGCAGAAACCACTGACGAAAGCCTTCGACTTGGTCAGCAGAAGCGGACTCTTCAGCCTCCTGGAGAAGAAGGTAGGATGTCCCCCAAGACTGCTCCAGATGGTCAAGTCCTTCAACGAGGATATGCACAGCACAGTCTGTTACAACGGCGGAACAACCGTTGCTTTCCCTGTGAGCAGCGGCATAAAGCAAGGCTGCGTCTTCGCGCCGACACTCTGGGATCTTCATATTCCTCCAGTACGCCTTCCACGACTGCATAGAGGGCATCTACATCCGCACTAGAGCAGACGGCAAACTTTACAACATCGCCCGACTGCACGCTAAGACCAAGGTCCGTGAGGTCCTCATTCGTGAGATGCTGTTTGCCGACTACGCTGCGCTGACGTCCCACACGGAAGACGGTCTGCAAGAATTAGTCAGCCGCCTGGCCCACGCCTACAAGGAGTTCGGCTTGACCATAAGACTCAAAAAGACCAACATCCTGGCACAAGACACCGCCTCTTCCCCGGACGTTGCCATCAACAACACGCGCCTCAAGGTGGTGGACTCCTTCACCTACCTCGGGTCGATCATCTCCAGCTCCGTCTCCCTGGGCACCGAGATCAGCTCCAGGATAGGGAAAGCCACCGCAGTTATGGCCAAGCTAATCAAGCGAGTCTGGAACAACAGCCAGATGACGGAGAACACCAAGCTACAAGTCTACCGGGCCTGCGTCCTCAGCACCCTTGTGTACGGCAGCGAGTTCTGGACAACTTACGTCAGTCAGGAGAAGAGGTTAAACACCTTCCACCTCCGCTGCCTCAGACGTCTTCTGCACATTGCACTCTGCAAGTGGCAAGACTGAGTCACTAACCCAGAGGTCCTCCAACGTGCCGGCATCCCCAGCCTGTTCTCGCTGCTCTGTCAAAGACATCTCAGGTGGCTGGAGCACGTACGCCGCATGGATACCAGCCGCATCCCAAGAGTCATCATGTAAGGAGAGCTATGTGGGGCTTCCGCCCAACTGGAAGACCTCAGCTCCGCTTCAAGGATGTCTGGAAACAAGATATGAAGCTGGCCGAGATTGACCCCAACACCTGGGAGGCTGCGGCTGACAATCGTCAGCTTTGGAGAGCCACAGTCAGAGACGGCGTCACGATTGCAGAAGCCGTGAGGGAAGATCAGCAGGCAGAAAAGAGAGCCAGGAGAAAAGCAAGGACATCCTCCGTCTCCGTGTCATGCACTTTCATCTGCACTAAGTGCCTGAGAGACTGCCGCTCCAGAGTGGGGCGACGCAGTCACCAGAGGCGATGTAACCTCTTCGCCTAGAATTTTCTTTAAAAAAGAAAAAAAACCGTTACTCCATCATCTCCCGAAAGGGACGGATGCCGAACGAAGATATATATATATATATATATATATACATGCATATATTTACATATACATACATATATAATTTTTTAAGACATTTTTTTTAGGTTTGTACGTTCTTTTTATAGATAAATATGTAAGTAAATGCTCTGTTTATAATAAACTGTATTAACAACATTTCCCGGTCATAATGTCCGAGAAATTCTTATAGAAAATATGCGTCCTACGACAGGAATCGAACCTGTATCCTATACGGAACCATCATATAGCCTGACGTGGCTTAACAGATTGGGCCATAGAGGAGCGTTCGGTTAGCAAGGTCAATTTTACTGTTTTTAAACATAATTCTCGATGATTTTCTCTCATTCATTCATATCTGCTCAATGCGTATCCAAATGTAAACAAAGACGTCATACATTATGAAATGGACAATTATTTTTAAGACATTTTTATGTTTATACGTTCTTTTTAATGTCTTAATATATATATATATATATATATATATATACATACATATGCATGTATATACATATATATATATATATATATGTATATATACTATATATATATATATATATATATATATATATATATATATATATGTATATATACATATATATATATACATATATTTTGCATATATTAGTACAAAAACGCACAATCTTAAAATTTAAAAATTCAACCTCAGCGTTGCGACTGCACGCTCCAAAAACATTTCTTACAATTAACAATAACACATTTCTAAAAACATATTTCGGATTGCATCTATTCTTTCGGGAAGTAAAAAACAAATCTAATTCCATACCTGATGATGTCTGTATGCACAGATGAAAGCTTGTAAAAAAATAAAAAAAGCCCTTATGCAACTGGAATTTATAAACAGGGATGATAACATTCATCTACAGGTTCGGGGTTAATACTTTATTAAATTTGTTTGCGAATATGTATTCTCGCCATTTATATCTGTGAATGATTCATGTAATGTAAATTGAACTGCACCATATACTTGATATATATATATATATATATATATATATATATATATATATATATACACATACATATAAATATATACATATATATACACATGCATATATATATATACATATATATAATAGATAAATACATATATATATATATATATATATATATATATATATATATATATATATATATATATATATATATATATATATATATATATACATACAAACATTTTATACATTTACATATATATATTCATATATATTTACTTATATATACACATACATACAATTATATACATTTACATATATATTTTTTCATATATGCACATATAATATACACATACATATGGATCTAAAATACCTATATATATATATATATATATATATATATATATATATTAAACTGATCATTAGTTAGCATTTTTGGGAGTAGGCAATCTTTGGTATAAGTCTACATTTTTTTTAGGACGGTACAAGTTCGGTTTTAATAATGAGACACTATCTCTAAATTGTACAAGGGTTTTTTGTATTACTCTGAGTCCTCTTCTGTCCTCTTTCGTAGCCTCACTTCTAGTAATATATTTCTCACTATCGGTAATATAGGACAGGAATAGTTAGGGCCACTTGATTAAAACCAGTGCGTATCATTTGAAGGTAATTCAGTTTTATGTGTTGAGAACAGACAGAGGTGTAGGATGATATAAAACAATGTTGCTGTACTACGTGATAAGGTAGATTTGACCTTGCTTGTTACGGAGTTTGTAACTCGGCACCACAGCTCATTTCTAGACGTAGATTGTCGATTTTTATGACATGAATTTCGTGGAGAAAAAACTGAATAAATCCACGAAGAATGAATAAAAGACGAAACAAAATCACCAGTAAAAATGTAAATTTAAAATTTATATACTTTATGCCCAGGGGATACATTTGGATTGAGGTGTGTATTCATGCTAAATTTAATTAGTAAGACTCTTTCGTAGGTTTAACTTTCTGTCCGGGAGAAGAGTTCGTAGTAAGTTAGTGGGGTTGTACAATATTATATGTGTATTATAAACTTAATATTCATATATGAAGTCTGCATATATTCATAGACGAATCTGCAAATGTAATTACTGTTTTCTGCTACTGTTACTGTTCATAAAGGTATGAGAAAAAATTCTTTTTTAATCATTTCAGCACAAGGAAAATGATGATCACACTAAGATGCAAAGGGTTACTGAGAGTGAGAGAAAATGAGAAAACGTTAGTGAGAAGTAAAGACGATAAAAGAATAGGTATCATGGAGACAGAAGATGTATATTGACGTTGTATTTAATTTTTGCAGATTGTAGGTGGCAGGGAAGGCAGAAACCAAGAGTCCCACAGGTGAGAAGTACCAGAGAGGGAAAACTATTAGAATAGAACTTACGCTAGTTCAACATTACAGCAGTGAAACCCAGTTGCCAAGCTAGCAGCACGCTGAAATAATGTGCTCAAGGTACAAAGTTTGAAAGATTCCTAGAACAATTGCCACTGGAATATTTATAGAAATGACGCAGGGAAGCCGCGTCATGGCAGTAGGAATGCTACTGAAGTCGAAGTGTAAGGAACAATATCGTTACATTTTACTGTATGGATTTTGTCGAGCATCTTATAGCAGTGTATCATATCAAATATACCAGCAATATTAAATGCTCAGAAGAAGGATAAAATGTGTAAGAAGGATTCTGGACGAAAAGAATTGTCTGGCACGATGCAGCGAACCAACTTTCCTAACAGACCTGACAGTCAGTGGAAAACTTGAGGTCAAGGAAGCGCAAAGAGTTTCTGTCTCGGGAATTAGCATCAGCTATTTTGGAGAAAGGCAAAAATAATTTATCACTAAAAATTGAGAAAAAGTCAATGCCTTGATTGTAATTTTGTTAATGTCGTAATATTATAGCTGTTATTCGCCAGTTGTGTGTGCTAACTGGTTTTCTTTTTATAACAAAAGTATAATGCTTTGACTGCTTTAAGACCACACCGAATCACATGATATGCGGCCTGTATCCGTACAAATATTGATTCTTGCCTTTTACATTGGCGTTAAGTTCTTTTGATCCATGGATTGTTATTTTTATTCTATTAGAGCTACTGGTGAGCTCAAAATGTTTTTTTCTATTTTGGGAGGTAACGACAACGGTTATCGTCAAATTGAGTCGGCAAACCGAGTTTGAATTTCGGCTCGGAAGATTTGTGCAGATTTTTCACAAATGTCCTTTGGAGAATTTTGAATACGCGTCTCCGTTCAAGCAGCATATAACTTGAATAATGTCTTATTACTAGCATGCCAAGATGGCAACGATAGCTGTTTCCTTATAAGACATTCATTGACCGAGGAGCCAGTACTACTTTTGGTTGAAACTTATAAAATCTTTCTATTGAAACAAATTTTCAGGAAAATAGGTTTCTCAAATCTAGTAACTGTTATTGCTCTTCCCACTACTGAGGGGGAGCTGCATTCCTAACATCTGAATTAGTGTGGAACGTCAACATTTTGATTATGTCATAATTCTCTCTTCCAGCTAGATGTGATATTCATTTTAGCTGTTGCGGCTGTTGAAAGTCCTCAACTGATGCGGTTTCTTTTACTTTTGTGATTTTGTATCGGCAGTCCGCAATGATTGAAGAATGATG